GTGGCTCCAACCCTCGATATACATTGGGGCTCGAGAAGGTTGCAACGATGTTTAGGTTGGAGAAGGCCGGTGGTGCAAGAGTGAAGAGATATCGTCGTCATCACCTGTTGGCCATGGCATGTCACCGCCGTAGTTATTTTTCTCGCCACGTCGGAGGTTTAAATTAAAGCAGAGGCAATGATATCTCGTCTATTCAAAGGACAAATATCGTTTCATTATTGATGCACACATCGCTTAAGAAATCACATTTTAATTGAGTTCATTTGCGAAACGACATTTAAACGAAGCTCACTTTCAATGATGTGGCGTAATTCTAAATTTCTCGTCACAACGACATACACATCCGAACACCACCACTATACTTGCTATTACAACAAATCCAGAAATCCTTTATGAAATTCGTCCATTGTCCCGGACGAGGGTTTTCCTTGGTGCTATATTTATTGCTCGCTCATTGTACGGCAGAGTGACCATTGCACAATTCAGACTCTTCTTCTCATAAGATCCCTGCAACATTACTGGGAATACTAGCAGTACTGTTCTTCCCTGGGGGAAGTCAGATCGTCGGGGCAGACATTTCTTCGACGCCCCGCTGACAGCAGGGACCACCGCAACAGCAGCAACCCGCCACCTCCGTGACGACGACGCCCTACTCGTGCCTCCCAGCGCATCCGCAGACACAGCCATCCATCGTCATCCTCTCCCTCGGCGCCGTTGGATCGAATGCGACCCTTCCTTCCCACAATCCGCGCGACGCGCGTCTCGCAAGAGAAGGCGTCCCCCTGTCCCGCGGTAGTAGTACTGGGCACGCTGTCCACGGAGCTGTGCGGTTGTCTCATGTGTGCGGTGCACCTGGTTGCCTACGCACGGCTGGCTACCCGGGCCTACCCCCCACACTGTTTTTTTCTGTTTGCAAAGCTGACGAAAGGGGGAGCTCGCTGGCTCGTAGTACTACCGCGCGGGACGTGACGGGGCCAAAAGCGCACCCAAGCCTAGCAGGAAAACCTGTTGTTTTGTGCTCTGTAGCCTGGCCTGTCACGGAGGGGGGTGGCGTGAGCACAAGAAAGGCTAATCCTACCTCGCCTCGCCAGATTCACAGGACGGTCACGTGGCCGGACCGGCGGGTCGACGGATTGGTGCTTGCGCGGCCTTGCGCTGCGCGCTCGGTAGAGTGTGGGGCCGAAGCCGAACGGGGGAATCGCCAGTAGGTTGCCAGGATTCCAGGACGCTGTTGCAGCCTTTGCAGCGACGAGGTGCGTCCAAGATATGGGCCTATTACATTGTTGGGCATTAGCAGCAGCCCAAATCCATCATCCATGGAAGCAGCGGTTCTCCCTGTTATATGGGCCTGAATGGTCCAGTATGATTTCCGCCCGCCATGAAAAGGAATAAGTTCACTTTGAGTCCCTTAACTAGTGACCGAATCAAATTCATATACTTGAACCACAATACCGGATATCTTGACCCCTCGACTATTAAAACCGGTGCAATTTAACTCCTATGGTGGTTTTGAAGGGTGATTTGCTGATGTAGCGCCAACATGGCAGCGTTGACCTAGTCTTTATCCAACGTGGCGTTAACGTGGCACTTATGTGGTATTAGAATTTTTTTAAAAAATATGTGGGACCCATTTGTCATTCACGAAAATAATTGTGGGGGCCCACATGTCATCCTCTTTCTTTGCTTCCTTTCTTCCTCCTCCCCCCCTCTGAATAGGCACATTTGTAATGCACGGATCAAATTAACCCTTAATTATTTGTCACTTATAGTCTATGACACATGGATTCTTATGTGTCTATAACATATGGATCCAATGAAAAATCATTGATTATCACATTTAAGAGTGGTAAATTTAATTATCTTTTATTTTACGGTGATGTCTAACCCTGATATGAAACAAGGCTTTAAGGTGGTGTTTGGATCCATGGACTAAATTTTAGTCCCTGTCACATCGGATATTTGGATACTGATTTAGAGTATTAAACATAGACTATTTGCAAAACTAATTACATAAATGAGAGCTAATTCACGAGACAAATTTTTTAAAGCCTAATTAATTTATAATTAGAGAATGTTTATTGTAGCATCACATAGGTTAATCATGGATTAATTAGGCTCAGTAGATTCATCTTGTGAATTAGTCCAGGATTATGAAATGAATTTTATTATTAGTCTATATTTAATACATTTAATTAGTATCTAAACATTTAATATAACAGGAATTAAAAAATTTTAGTCCCATCCAAATACCCCGCAAGTTCTGGACTAAACTTAGTCACCGGAGACCGTCTGACCGCTGACGTCTACTTTCGGTCACAGTACACTGTAATAACAGGTCAATAATCACAGTGACGTTGCCATGACCGGAAAGTCCAAACTTGTTTTCGTGCTAAGGTCCCGTTTAGTTAAAAAACTTTTCACAAGACATCACATAAAATCTTTAGACACATGTATGAAGCATTAAATATAAATAAAAAATACTAATTGCACAGTTTGCATGCAAATCAAGAGACAAATCTTTTGAGTCTAATTAGTCCATAATTAGCCATAAGTGCTACAATAATCCACATATACTAATGACGACTTAATTAGGCTCAAAAGATTCGTCTTCCAGACGAGTGATGAAATTAGTTTTTTCATTTGTGTCCAAAAATCACTTTCAACATTCGATCAAACATTCGATGTGGCTCTCAAAAATTTTTATTTCCCCAACTAAGCAGGCCCTAACAGAGCCCAAGTCATCACCATTCAGAAAAAAAAAACACAGAGAATCGAGTTGACTACAGGTCACACGACGCAAATATGCAATCATGGTGACAGACGATGGGGGATACGATTAAAGTTGGCTTTGCCCTTTTTACGTGGACCGTGTCGCGGTCACGAAAGACGGACGCCATCATTCGGGATGATCTGCCCGGACCCCTGGATGACTTGAGCGATCCTTGTTGGTCTGCGTAGCGCCATATCCTTTTTTGTTGATCCTCGTTTACTCCCAAAAGCTCTCACGGCCGGCACAAGCGACAGCCTAATCGAAGGCAACTCACGTCGCAATGAGCGTCTTCTGTGAGCACTTCATCTGGTCCTTGTGCCTTTTTCTTTCCCCGCGGTCCAGGTTGCCAAAAGGCACGCTCGCGGGCGCGGTGGCTTCACAAAAGCAACGGGGTGACGGCGGGTTGATGAGAGCCGGACCGGCCCGAGGAGCGCAGGCGTAGGTGCCGGTGATGCTTACGTCCACACAGCTCAGCTGTCTCCCTGCCTGCTGGCTTTGCCGCTACCGGCAAGGCGGCAACGGCAACCGAGCCCCCGGCCCCGCGCCGGCGCCGCCCGTATCGCACGGGCCGCACATCCGCCGTGACAACGACAGCGACCTTTTCTCTGTCCGCTCTTCCCTTGTCGCTCGGCGTGCCCCGTTCCACCACAGTGTAGTGTTGTAGCTAGATAAAAAAAAACCGAGATTAGAAGGGAGAGAAGTCTTTCGAAACATTTCTCTACTGTTATAAAAAAATAAAAATATTTTTATCGGTACTTTGGTACGTCATCTATATATATGAGACGGTTTTTAAGCTCATTCACTTTTGAAAATACATATTCTTATTTGAGTTAGTTTTTAAATTTGTTGGCTTTGGGAAATATAAAATGATCTCTTTAAAAACCTCGCATGTTAACTTGAGACGATCAAACTTCTAACTGCAGCTCATGATTAGATTTTCTAATAAAAATTATATCCAAACGAATTACTTGAGATGATCGAACTCCTAACTGCAGCTTATGATTTTCTAAAAAAAATATATCCAAGCGAATTCCCACAGTGAATTTCACCTTAACTAACCGTACAACAATAATAAGATTAAAATAGCCTTCACTTGTTGCAACGTACGGGCATTTTTTTCTAGTTTTTTTTTAAAAATATGAACATGTTAAAGATTAAACATAAGACATCTGATTAAAACCACACACAACCTGTCACTGTATTATCAGGTGCATCGCTTTAGCTGGACTGGATATTACTCCGGCTGGCAAAGCAAAAGGACACAATTCAGTTTGTTACTCTGGCTGGGCCGATTCAGTTTGTTACTCTGGACGGGCCGGGCCTGACCAGGCCAGTGCACAGCAGGACTGCACATCTGTCTCCTGCTGAACCTCTTTGTTCGGCCCAAGTACTAGGAAAGGCGCTCATCAGGTTCATGATTCATCTAAGTCATCTGAACATAAAACTGCAACTGAGCATTATACTAACCAACACAAAACTAGCTGATCTCACGGCGTTGATGCTCTGCATTTGCTCAACTTCTGCATCAAAGCAAAACTGTATTGTGTTGAGCGCGCGCCATTCCTGCGGGCACAGACCTTCTGGAAACAAAGGTGTCATCTACCAGCTAAAAGTTCAGACTTCAGAGATACCTCGAGATCCACGTCGCGGCTTAACCAGGCATGCCATTCAAACCTTTGAGCTGACCTGCTGGATACCATAATCTCTATCCCTTGATTTTGTTCCTGCGGGGGAGATCTTGTCGTTGGGATGTCTACAGAAAGTTTATCTTCATCGTATAATAAAACACCCCACTTGTGTGTATCATTCTTTATCAAGTCTCTGAACATTACCAGTATTAAACTCGGCTTGGGCTATACGACGTCTTGCAAATACAGAAAGCTAAGGTTAGATTTGAGTCGCAAAGGATTTCGTTCAGAGCAACTTGGCCTGTGGGGCTTTTGGTTGATTACAACCAGGGACACACAAAGATGGCGCAATTCGAGACTGTTCTGCCAGGGGAACAGCTAGGACTGCCAACTTATGCAGTTCCATGAGATTCCTGGTGTCCGAAACACATCAATTTTAAATCTTCAGACAAATGCTGGGTTTGCATTATTAAGCGCGTCTGTTAACCTGCCATGAGACATATCGGCATTGTGACAGTTACTCCTGCTGCTGCCCTGCAAGTGAGTCTGAACAAGCTTGAGAATAATTGAAGCCCTAAGTATGGCTCACAAACACTTCTATGTACATAACGAATATATTCTTGCTTCATTAGACATGTATAGGTTGATTTATATACGGAGTACAACACATGGATAGTTGACTTGACTAACCACATGAAAAACGAACTACCAAGGTACAAAAACCCCTTTTCACGGACTAGAGGTAGCACTCGGTAACATGACATTACTTCTATCTGAGATGTGTCTATTCTATCACTAGACTAAGTATGTGTTTCCATCCTTTTCTGTTGTCCTTAAATAACCTAAAACTAGCCTAAGTTATGCTCCCCCACAACAATCTCTCCCATCATACATCGGTTCATTCAGACTGGCCACTTGTTACAGCCCCCAAACGCATCTTGGATCCAGTCTATCAGGTCTAGTCGAAGCCACAACTTAAGGTCGACGGGTCTACACAACCCGAGAGGTTGACCAAGTGAGTGATGACCACTCCATCTTTTAAGTTGTGCTCTCTATCACCAATTATCGACGTAGGATAAAAACCCAACGACATCTTTGCACACACATTTTTGTGTTTAGTGGCAAAAACCAAACCGCCGAGGTAAAAAAACGATCAGTTCTTAGGGAAGAGCTGGATATGAAAACCATCTGGAAAGCTGAGACCGGGGGTTCGGACTATGTTTCCTCCTTTCACTGTCCTCCAACTGCCATGAGAAAAAAATGGTTATTCAGATGATGTCCACAGGATGAGCCAACGTGAGAATGTTATATTTAGGTTGAGAAATGGTACCTGTATTTTGTAACTAAAGAGTGTATGAATGTTGCCATCAAAACCTTGCTGAGATCAGTTCCAACGCAGAACCGAAGCCCACCACCGAAGGCCATGAAATGCTTCGTTCCTCCAGTGATCTCTGGTTTTCCCTGTTCAGACAAGGGCTAGTTTAGAGCCATATATTATTTCAATGCAGATATTCCTTACTAATGTGGAAAATGCATGTGATGCTCCCATTCTCTCCCTTTCCTCGTTATGCTACCCATTACTCATTTTCCACAACTTCAATGCAAACAGTTGCTTTTTTTATAGGGTAATGGAAACACTTGTTTATTGAAACTCTTGGTTCTCACTTTGTTTATTTCTTTATACCCAATCACCTAGGAGAGCTCACTGAACCTGAAATCAGCTTGTTACTGCATCTATAGATCCATGTCATAGACAGGCAAGACAGCTTGCCTTTTTACAGATTGCATTGCTCTTTATGCAATTTATCATCCTTTTTGTTTTACAAGGGACTGGTGAAATAGCACATGGTTCACCTACCGGATTGAGATACTGTCGGATTACAAATTTATTACCACAAGCCCCAATGATAGCTAACAATTTTCTGTGCACTTAAGTAGTACTTGACAGATGAGATAGCTTCATGGTACTTGTTTTTTCATAGGTTACACTGTACTTCTCTTGGCATTTGACCTTGTTGTTAAACTACTGAGCAGGAAGTTTCTCTGTTGGTTCTGGTATTAAACCCCTGACCGATCAAGCTGGTACTTGAGATCAGAACCTTGCAACCTTATACTAATCACAGTGCTAATAATTGGGAAGTTGCAGTTAATTAAAGTATTCTTCTTTCATAATTTCCGTTTTAATGTCGAGGCTTGAGAGGAGAATATATGCAAGTTCGGTGAGCAGATCAGATAATTACAGTTCCTACTTCCTAGATGAGGAGAGAGCTCTTTTTTTTTTAATAAAAAAGGTAGACGCCTAAAATAAACTGAAGGACCAAAGCTCAAGGCTGGAGCTGCCGCTCAACCTGGCAAGATGGAACCCTAACCTACGTGTAAACTTAGAATGTACATGCAGAAACTGCTAATTACTGAAAGTTCATATTAAGAAGACTAACCTGCCACCTCCATGGATTGAAGGCCAACGGATCTTCATATATCTCAGGGTTTAAGTGCACTGCCGGTGGGCACACCATGATACCCCATCCTGCTGGAATTGTGTAGCCTGCACAAAGTTCAGAGTTCAGTTTTGTGCTGCAACTTGCTGAAGTGAACCTTTCTAATTAACAAGAGATGTCATGTGCTAGATAGTATTCGAGATATGTGTACCTTTGATCTCAACATCCTGCAACGCCTTCCGAAAAATTCCCGGCACGATGTTTGCGAGTCTTACAATCTCCATTATGACCTTCACATAAAGAACATGGAAGCGTTAGTTTTGGCAGTTATGGATTCAGAAATCGTACGGAAATGGCATCTACTACATAACCTGCAGTTGCCAAAACAATTAACTGCGGTAAAAATTCAGGTTGCCGAGTTCTGATTCTCTTCCTCTTTTGCTATTTTCAATTGTAAAAATAGGAGTTTTTCTTAATCAGCCAAGCCTGTTCAAGAAAGTTCTTACAGTTATTATTAACTAAGATTATCTATCATTCTTGAAGATTGGGCCTTGGTTAAACAACAGGGGAACACGAACTCTGCACTTGCAGAGTTGCAGTCTTGTTGGCAACAGCTTTGGGCTCCCAAGATTCTTGCACTAGTTCCAGATCAATCTCATTGTTCCCCAAGTAAATTCGAGCGGGGGTATTACAGTACGTAGCAGTGCAGATTGGTCTAGCGCACACTAGTCCCGGGTTAGGCTCACCTGAGACGTGAACGTCATCGATTTGTACTCGGCCCACGTGACGCCGGAATTGGGGTCCTTCCTGTTCCTGATGATTGCCTCGTGCTCCTCCTGCATGCCCACGCGATCGACAAGGTTTAATTCTACTTTGCTTTAACTTGTCGATCGATTGATCTGATCAATGACGAGCTAGTTGAACTCATCACACTCCCGTTGAGTGAAATATGATCAACAGCGAGAGTAGAGAGTAGACTAACCCTTAGTGCGTCGACGACTTTGGGATTCTCGGTGAGGAGCTTGACGCCGATGGTGAGCGCCAGCGCGGTGGTCTCGAAGCTGGCGAAGAGGAGGACGAACATGAGGTCCAGCGCGATGGTCTCCGTCAGCAGCGGCTTCTCCCTCCTCAGCTCCTGGATCACGTGGTCGAAGAAGTCCTCGCATGGCCGCTCCGGTTCGGCCATCCTCTCCTTCATCATGCCCCTCAGCACCTTCATCGCGTTCTTCCTCCCCTGTGTACGTATCAATTCAAAAAAACAAATTTAAAATCGGAATTCATTTTTTTTGAGTATATATCAGCTAGCTGTGTAACAGTGAGAAGCAGGAGTTTCTGAGGTTTATGGAGTGCATGTGCGCGGCTATACGGCCAAGTACACCGATCTGTCTGTGCGTGTGGTCCTTAGTTTAGTGGCGTTTCGCATGTGCAGACGGCCTAGCTAGGGTGCAATTTGAAGTTGTACAAATTATATCGTGTTCAAGAGTATGGGGGCAGTTGCCGAGTTGCGGGCGGCTGCGGGCGTGTGGGCGCCGTACCTCCATGCACTCGTGATAGGCCGTGCCAGGGATGTTCAGTGGGAAGGATATCAACCCGCAAATGAACGCGCCGAAGTTCTTCCTCAGGTTCACCTGCGACGGCTTGGACGGGTCGTAGCCGATCAGCTTCTTGGCTGTGAGATCAAATATCATCTGAAATATATATACAGAATTAATCCTCGTCAATTACGCGCAATGCGGCTAGCTAGGCAGCTAGCACATGCTGATGCATGCTGGTTGATTTGGCGTCCGGTGTGTGCTTACAGTGGAGATGCCTTCCTTGAGCTCGACGCTGGGCTGGGAGGCCCAGGAGGCGAGGCTGCCGCGGCAGGCGGCGTCCGTCTCGGCGAGGAGCACGGACTTGAGGTTCTCCTGGCCGTAGAGCCGGAGCACGAGCGTCTTGAGGTACTTGTACATGAAGCCGTGCAGGGAGCCGACGTTGTCGCGGCCGAAGATCTCGGTGAAGGTGTCCGGGTACCAGCTCTCGAACAGCTTCCCCTCCTGCTGGAACACGTAGTAGTTCATCTCCGGGTCGGCCGACACCACCACCGGCCGCCCCACCACGCTTGTCTTGAAGATGCTCCCGTATCTGCGCCCAACGCCAACGCCAATGTCACGGACCGAACTCGATCGATCAACAACGTCAATACTTCCGCACGCCATTGCCGCATGCGTTCTTGGTTCTGAGGTGGAGGTGTGTACCTCTTGATCCTCTCCTTGACGAAGGGGGAGAGGTCGCAGGTCGGGTTGGGCGCGAAGAACTGCAGCGTCTCGCCGATGACGGGGAGGCCGAGCGAGCCCGGCGGCAGCCTGCCGTTCGACCTGGGGTGGCTCCACCTGTACGCCCAGCGGAGGAGCGCGACGACGGCTGCCAATGCCGCGCACAGGAGCGCTATATAGGCCATGGAAGAAGCCATGGCCGCCCCGGAGGCGGCGAGAAGGTTCGCGTCGTATAATCTTGGGGCGAGAGGGATGGTGGTGGCGAGGCGGAGAGAAGCTAGCTGAAGATATGGCTGCATGTGCGTATGGGGGAGAGTTGTGCGAGAGGAGAGGTGGTTTGCTAATGCTAGCTAGAGTTGCTAGCAAAGGCCAAAGGGGAGGAGGCGGAGGGGTTATCTGTGGGTTTGTGGGTAAGGATGGAGGGGGGTCAGCTTATATAACCACCATGCTGAAAGTCATGGCCTTAAAATAAAAGGAGGGAGGGAAAATTGCATACATGCCCAAGATTAAACTCTAATTGCATGCAGTTAATATATTTGCTCTTTTTTTTTGGCTAATAGATTTACCAAACTTTTTCTTTACTACTGGTAGGCGTACGATTGTAACATATGTGTTGATGTATCGAAGCACATATATAATTCAACAATCAAAAGGAATAGGTTAGCTAGTCTTCTGGTTCTAAAGTAATGCTCGATTAGCTTGAAACGGTTAGACTTGAAAATGCAATATTTTGAACCCACAAGTAATATATGCGGGTGTAACTCAATTTCACCAACATATATGATTGAGTTTTTCCTTTCTAGTTTTGTGCAACTAGTTTTTAATTTCTAAGGGGTGCCAAATTATTTTTTTGCTCTTTCAAAACTACATATATGGTTAACATTTTTTTAAACAAAATTAACATATTTTTAGATTAGTCCCTTGTTTACTTTGCACGCCCATGGGAACTTGATGTGTTAGAAGTAGGGTGGGTATTCGGTCCGACTGATCGGTTCGGTCTCTTGTTCATTTAAAATTTTTGTACATCTAAAACCGAACACTAAATTCATTGCAAATAGTTAAGACCGAGTAATTCAGTATCATTATTTCGTTTCGATCTTTGGTCATGGCTAAAATAATTGGTAGCTTTGTACGATTAAAAAAAACACAAAACACAATTAAATTTTAGCAACATTTCCTCTCTTAAAGGACATGTTTTGATAGTAAAATATCACAAGATATATTGTTTGCTATTGCAAACAATATATAACACATCAAGTCATCAAGATATCATCATAGTAAGTCCAATTTAGCATTAATATTTACGTCACACATGATACTTAAATAGGCTTTAATGATATAATTCGATCTATTCAGTCATTTCCACCGTACTAATTTCAGTAGTAAGAATTACTTATCAAAATATTCGGTTTCAGTCTTGGTTAGTTCGATTTCAGTCATTCTTTTTTTTTTAAATCGAAGCCAGTATTTGCTGGTGTTATATTAAGTAGGATAGAAGTTATTTATAGAGTCACGAAATATGAAAGAGATAAAACCGAAAAGAAACTGAAAAGGAAGGAAAATAACAAGACAAGACATCCTCGCATGTGTTATATTGGGATATTCTCGTAATACCTTTGGCGCTGCACATAATCCACACCTTGTTCTCATATGTGATTTTGGTCACTAGTTGAGGGAATTGAGCCTACTGATTGTGGAACACTCGTTTATTTCGTTCGCACCAGATTCCCCAAGCTACCATCATATGAATTAATTCAATTGCCTTCGTTTTGTGTTTTTCCCCTTGGGATGTCCCCTTATTCACCGGTCAAACAGTGGCTCGTCACCATCGTGCACGTTTGGTGTCTTGCATCCCAACTGTTGTAAGATCTTCTCCCAAACTTGTTGTACAAAGGTGCAATCTTTGAAAAGGTGTTCTTGCCGGAACCTAGTTAGAAGCATAGAAGGACATGGCTGTGATATCAACATTTTGAGGGATAGGCTTGAAATATTCATACATCGACGAGGCAGAGTGGGAAATGGGGATGCTTTGCCAGTCCAGTGATCAATTTCTCTGGCAACCCTATTGGCTGTTGAGAGCTGGTCCTGATTGGTTAAGGATTATATAGAAGGGGAAAGGGAATAGCAAAGTATTGCCGGTGTGTCTCCAGACCATGGATTATTCTGCTGTCCCTATCAACCCCAGACGATGCCTTTGTTTATGCAAAAGCATGGTGCGAAGTGTACCATACTGAATTCCATCGGAGTGTGAGATTTCAGCCTCAACTTCAGGTGAGTCTGTGTATTGTACAGTGTACATAACACTCTTGGAGCAGAGTATTACTACCTGACAAGTACTGCAGCTGGCAAATACTGCCTCAACTTCAGAATATTCAGACCCATTATAGGGGGAAAAAAAGATTCAGATGCCTAACATCTGCAGGCTATCTGAAATGTAGTATACATGCAAAGTACATTGTACTCTAATCACCTATCTTGCACTAATTTCAGAGCTTATAGTCAAGAATCCGAACTTGGCGTGCAAGAAACTGAACCTTTTGTTAAGTAATTCGTGGCCTGCGTGCTCATCACAGAAATGAACTGATTGAATAACTCACCTGGGACGCCAAACTGTGTAGTGTGCTTGCATGGATGTGAGTCAAAAGCATAGCTTTCAGGATCCATACAAAATTCTCTCTTCTTCTTAGCTGTGCAAATATGTGTCACAATCTAAGCTCTACACCTTTTGGTAATCAGTGACAGTATACTATTCCACCAGCTAGCCAGACAGTATATAGATTAAGTTGTTTCCCCTAGACAATTATATCAAGATTGCTAGCCTGAATCCAGCCCAGAAATTGGCACTGGAGCGAAATACGTCAGATCGATCCGATTTCCGAATCTTCCTGGAAGCATCAGAAGAAGCGGTCCTGAAGCGGTGCATTTCCGTGTCAAATAGATTCGACATGGTTGGCTGTCCATTTCGGGAATTTTATACAGGAGTTTAATTTCTTCTGCCATTCGATGCCTATGCAGCAAGTGCAACAAGAAGAAACAAAGAACAGGCCATTTCCCAGCAGCACTGTCTGAACTTTTCGCGTCAAGTCGTCAAGATTCATCAGGGAGAACAGCCAGATATTCAGACACCTTTTCATGTAGTTGCTGGAGCGCTTAAGCTGGAACAGCCAGAGCAAAACGCTCGCTCTGGCTTTGTGTTTCCTTCACCGCCTCTCATGATCGAATTCTTTATGCAGCGGAGCTCCTTTTGTGGCCCCCGTTGGCTTCTCCCATATCCCAACATTATGCATGCACCTCGCAACATGCGTACGTGTTCCTGGATGCATATGGGTACAGATCATTTGGCTCCGTATGGGAAGCAGTACGAACAGCGGGGGCGCGCACGTACTACACAAGTCACAAGTGGCCCATGCCGCGAGTAACATGACAAACAGCGAAACATAAGAAACGGGGTTTCCCACTGGCAATTAAAAAAGGAAAAATCTGAAGAATAGGATCCAAATCATGGAGTAGGGTAAGCGGAGCAAAGAGAGAAACCAAAAAAATTTGCCCAGAAATTCTGAACAGTTCTCCATAGGCGGGGCTGGTTTTCACAATTTAGACCATGATCTAAAGTGATTCCGCGGCTGCAGCATGCAGCCACAACAATCACTGCCGAAATTTTTTGGAAAAGTATTGGTCTGTTCGGCTGCAACATGCAACGGTTATTGACAACCAATTACTGCTTAGTTGCTGCCACTAAAGAACTATCGTCCGGCTACTAGGCAGAGTTGCAACAAGCCGTGGAATAGGCTCATTTTTTTTTAAGCTAGACACCTAGTGAAGCTTTTTACCGAAATGGAGTTTTGTAAGCAATGCTATGACATTTGAAACCATGTATATGCCATGACTCATATGATTTGGTGCCATGTAGAAATTAGGACACCACATAGGATAATCCATGAAGAGGTTAACATTAGCACACTTTTCAAATTGTTAAGCAGTGTGTTTTGTGCGAAAGCTTTTATACATGAAAGCTGCTTTAAAAAACTAAATAAATCTATTTTTAAGTTTGTAAAAATTAAAACTTAATTGATCATCCGCTAATGGTTTTCTTGTCTTATGTACCCTAACTTTATCTTCATCTTTCATTAGAAAAGAACACTACTTACATATCACAATTTGACTTTGTCGCTAACTCGGAGTAAATCAATTGACTGCTTCTAATCGGATAGGGTTTTGAAGACGGGGTTTCCAACTTGAATTGTAGGTGACACATTGAGTGACTACACATTATACTACTCCCTCCGTTCCTTAATATAGGGCGCAACTGGTTTTTTGATGTGTATCAAAATATAGGGCGCTCATGCACATGCAAGCAAATAGCATTAAAACAAAAGTATAAAATCTGGTTGACTTCCGCACGCATACATGCAAAGGCTTTCAATGCTTCTTCGGTTTTTGCGTTGCTTATCCTTTCACATGCCAAAATAACAGGTTGTTTGCAGGGAAGAATGCAAAGAGCTGCATGCATGCATGCAAAGACCGATGCACACGGGAGAAGCAAAGCATCGCATGCGTCGCTCGAGAAAATCAGTTAAGTCTTCTTGGTATTGCCGTCCAGAGCAGTTGCGCTCTATATTAAGGAACGGAGGGAGTATGTGCTTGCCATCTTTGGTCAAATCGATTGATGCCGGTGATCCCCTTCTCTAGTACCAAAATACGGAGTAGATGTAAAAGAGACACGGATTTTTATGTAGAAAACACTTAATAAGACCACGAATATTGTCACGCCCCGAACTAGTACCGACCGGAACTAGCCCGTGACGCTCCAAATTAACCTGTTAATCGATACCAGTCCCAGGAAACAGTGCTGGTATCACAGGGAGACAGAATATCACAGCAACAGAGGTCTCTTTATTATAGAGTAGAAGTACAGTCATGTTGGGCTGCGGACAGATCCCGAGCTCACAACTGCATTACAAAAGGGAAACGGAAGCCATGACTTGGACCAAACATCACAGGCGCGACTTGGGAACTAGGCCGAAACCCTAAAACTCATCGAAGCTGGCTTGCTCCTGGAAGAACTCCTCATCAGCGGGATCCGCTTCATCTTCTTCAGCAACTGGGGGGGGGGGAGATTATTTATATAGAGCAAGGGTGAGTACGGGAGTACTCAGCAAGCCAGGGGAAATAAGTGTTTAATGCAGGCCTCAAAGAAAGGCTGGTGTTTTTGCAATTGATTTTATTCGAACTCTTTTTTGAAACAACTAAGTGAGTGCTTCTCAAACGACACGGATGAGATAGTGCGTCTCGTCCGGTCGGAGTATGTGCAATGTATCAGTCTTTTAGAATTGAAACAAGGTTGGCACCCGGCCAACAGCTTTTCAACGGCCACCCGGGCCAACAACTTTTCAAACGGCCACCCGG